ACCTTGCTATCCTTCTGTCTCAATCTTAATGAATTCTTCATGGCTAGAGTGGCAGCTTAGCATCCCGAGAGATCCAGATTTCAAAGGAGTTCAGGGCTGGGGCTGTAGCTCAGTGGCAGAGCGCTTGCCTAGCAYGSTGAGGCGCTGGGTTCGATCCTCAGCACCACATAAAAATAARATAAAGGCTTGCTGTCCATCTACAACTACCAAAAAAAAAAAAAACTAGTTATACATTTAATAAATACATACATAMATAAATAAAAGGGGTCCAGACCTCTGACAGTCCCTCCCTCAGTCCTCCCTGGGAGCTGATGAGACTGATTGGAAGGGGCAGGGCCTGAGAGAGGCCCCATGGTGACAAGGACCCAGGGAGGCGCAGCAGTGCGGGGAAAGGCCTTCCTGAGCTCTGGGTCTGCAGAGGTCAAGGTGGTGCGGGTGCCCTGGGGACGCCTGGCTCTCCTGGGAGACTCCCACACCGGGGCTGACCTGCCCCAGGCGGGTCTGACCCTTCTCAGGCAAGAACAGAAGCCGCCCCGCCCCCACCCTGCACCGATGGTGAGAGCCTCTGGACACTGGCCGCAGCAGGACAGCCACCGGTGCTGGCATCCTGACTGACAGGAAGGGGCGGGAGCAGCCCCCCACGCTGCTCAGGACCTCCCACCCATCAGGCCCAGGTGGCTCCCTGGGGTGGGGGACAGGAAGTCTGCCTGCACTCCCGCACCTGCACTGAGTTGGGAGGAAAACAGGAACCCTGGCGAGTCCCCCTCCTGGGCTCTCGTCTGAATGTCTAAGACCGAAACTAGAGCAGCAGAACAAGAAGCCGCCGCCCCCACCACAGAACTTGCACCAGGGGACCAGCAACCGCAGACTGAGCTGGGGAAGGAGCTAGAACCCGGCCGGAGAGCCCGCCGGTGTCGCATTGTGCAAGCTGAGCACCAAACAGGGACACCGAGAAAATCCCCGGGGGCCTGGGGACTCAAGGCCCGGTGCTCAGCACAAAGTAATCACAGACGGTAACTATGGCAACGAAAAAACCTGAATCAACCACGGACTCATCAACTCAATGCCCTCTACCAAAGCCACAGATACAAAATATGCCCATTTCTAGGAATAAATATGGTTTGACTCACCCACTACTGTCCTCTTATGCACAGTGCCTGGAGGCCAGTCAGGGACTCCATGGCACATAATAAAACCAAGTAAAAGAAGAGGCCTGGGATAGCCAGGTGCAGGGCACCCAGCTGTAATCCCAGCTACTGGAGAGGCTGAGACAGGAGGATCGCCCAAGGCCAGCCTGGACAACTGGGAGAGACCCTGTCTCAAATAAATAAGGGCAGTGGTGGAACATCCCTGCATTCAGCCCCTAACTCCACTTAAAATAAATAAATAAATRAAAAGGGACCCAGGACTRGGGAGGTAACTCAGTGGTAGAGTGGTTGCTGGCTTAGGCCCTGGTTTCAATCTGCAGCATGAAAAGAAGAAAGAAAGAAAGGAATGAAGGAGGGAAAAGGGGGAGGGAGGGAAGGAAGAAAAAGAAAAGAAAGAAAGGAAGGAAGGAAGGAAGGAAGAAAAGGAAGCCATTATTGAGACATAAAAGATGTAGTGAGAAAAATGAATTCCAAGAACATACGGGAAATTGTAGGAGGCCATAGAAACTACTAAGGATGGCCAAGAAGAAGTGATGGAAATGAAAACTCCATATCAGCAATGAAGAAATCTTTCAATGGGTTTATCAGCAAACCAGACCTAGCCAAGTCAAGGCTCAGTAAACCTGAAGATAGAGCAATATAGATTACCCTGGCTGAAACACTGTGTTACTCAGCCTACCAATACTATAACAAAATACCCAAGATAAAAACTTATAAAGAGAAAAAGGTTACCTTTGATTCACAGTTTTAGAAGTTAAAGAATCAGAAATAGAAGATACGATGCATTGACTCCATTACTTTGGGCTTGTGGCAAAGCARCACGTCATGGTAGGTGGATGTGACAAGCAAAACTGCTTATATCAAAGAGAAAAAAAGAAAAAAGAAAGGAGGAAAGGATCAAGTCCCATAGTCTCCCCTGAGTAGACCCCACCTCTCAAATTTCCACCACCTCCCAGAGCATCACCCTGGATAGAAAGCACTTAACACAGGGGCTTTGAGGAGGGACTTCAACTTGTAAACTGTAACAAACAATATTCCAATATGTACGTCATTGGAGTCTTGGGAGTAGAGAGAGCAGAGAAGATACAGAAACAGAAACAGACAAACAATAGAAAAACAACAGAAATAAAAGAGTGACATTGAAGAGAAAATGGCTAAAACTTTTCCTAAATTATTAAAAGAACAAACCATAGATCCAAGGAGCTCTGCCAAACCCAGAAGGATGCATCTAAATAAAATACACCCCGTCCCATCATGGACGTGTGGCTGCAAAACCAAAAAGAAAGAAAATCTTGAAGGGCGTTTGGAGAACAAGAACCAGGATAAACAGTAAGGACGAGGAAAGACTTCTGATCAAAAACTATACGAGCCAGAAGAAAATGTAGCATATCTTTCAAGAAAAACCCATCAGCTTAAAATTTATGCACAGTGAACATATCTTTTAAAAAAATGAAAGCCAAATAAGAACTTTTTCAGATGAGCCAGGACTTAGAGAATTCATGGCCAACAAACTTGAACTGAGAGAAATTCCAAAGGAAGTTCCTAGGGTAGAAGGTAAATTATACCAGATGGGAATCTGGACCTGTACAAGGAGATGAAAAGTGTTGGATTTGGTAAAAATGTGTTAAATATGAAATAATTAATTTTTATATCTGTAATAGTGCAGGCATATTGTGGGGATCGTAATACTGTGGAAGAAAAATGGCACAAATGGCAAAAGCGTGAACATGAAATATTCTGTTGTCAGATTCTTATGCTGTATGTTAAGTGTTGCAAGGTTATTTGAAGGTCAATCGTGGAAGGTTAAATTTGTATACAGTAAACCCAAGAGTAACCCTTAGAAAAAGAAAACAGTAAGATAAGATGATAAGACGATCATAGAAATAAAATCATTTAATTTTTCTACATTCTTCTATGTATATGCCCATCTTTTACCCTGCACAAAAGTCAACTCAAAGTGCATCGAAGATCTAAGAAATAGACCAGAAACTTAGCAACTTCTAGAAGAAAACACAGGCTCCCTCCCCTCTCAAACATATTGATGCCAGCAGTGACTTCCTTAACAAGATCTCTAAAGCTCAGGACACAATGCCAAGAGTTGACAAATTGGATGGCATCAATTTAAAAAGCTTCTGCACAGCAAAGGAAACTGGAGAATGAAGAGAGAGCGCACAGGATGGAAGAAGATCTTTGCCATCTGCTCCTCTGACAGAGGATTAATGTCCAGAACACACAAAGCACTCAGAAAAACTTAACACCAAAAACACAACTAACCCAGTCAATCAATGGGCAAAAAGAACTAAATGGGCATTTAAATACTCACTCTAAAATAAGACACGGCAAGAAGAAAATGGAACAAAGAATAGGCAGGACAGGAGAAAATAAAT